ACTTCGCTGCCAAGTCATTGTTTGACCGCCTCTGGCTCTCTTCCACCCTTCACGTGGTTGTGTGAAAAGAGCCCTTCGAGGAAGTCGGTCGACTGGCAGCACGTGGCCAAGCCAGCGCAACCTATGCAGTGTGATCAAATCATCTATCGAGGGTGAGTTATTTCTCTCGAATACCATTCGACCTACTTCAGCATTGCTGATCCGGTGTTGCCACCAGATTCGGGCAATGCTCCGAAGACATCGATGGTCAAACACTGAAAGTCTTTTGGCGTTCTCAGCGCGCAGCGGTCAGGTTTCTGATCCATATAGTCACAAGTTCTGCACTCTATGAGATGTTGGTGATCTGCAGTGGCAGAGATAACATTTCTCAGTAGGAGAAATTAAAATGAGTCCATGAGCGAAATGACCTATCGCGAAAATGGCGTGGTTGGGAACTCGCGAGCGACTGAAAAACGAGTGTTACAAAGGTGTGATAGCTGAAACCTGTGAGATATCTACCAGTTTCGTGACCTACCCGCTGGACAGTGGGTCGATTTTCCCAGAGGGAAGAGGCAGAATTCTGTGAACTGTGAATGTGGCTCACGTCGGTGAGCTGGGTGAAGGATTCGCTCTGGAGCTATACAATAGGGCAGTTTGATTTCGGGTTTACCCTCCATCGAGATAACTTGTATTTGCCTGAAGAAATTGGACGCACAAGCGCTATCTTTGTCCATCAACGGATAGCCTAGAATGCTTGGTCCATCTATACAAGAAAACAAGAGGGAATAAAAAAGTCTGGAATGTTGTTGGGCAGTACTGAAAAAGAAATGACATAAAGTTTTGAGAGAAAATGTCAGGAATATCACCAACACCAACTCCACCAATGAAGTAATCACTAGCCATGTTAGAACACTAGCTCTCTGGATGTCGCTTGCATTCATTCTAAGTGCTGCTCTATGACCTATTATGACGCTTCGGGTGCTGTCCATCTTCATTCAGGATTCAACAAGTCCGTGGTGGGTTTGTGAGTCGCCCACGCACTTCTGCCGAGTTACTCACGTGATCTGCGCAAATTGCTTTGTCTCAAATTGTTGTTGTCCTAATGTTTGGCATTCCACCACATCTTGCAATTCCGAACCACAAGTGTCCACCTGCGTGAGATGAACAAATCTGTTTCGTAAACGATCATCACCTTAGTTTGTGTATTGCTTACTGCCGGTCACCTGATTTCGGCCAATCAATCAAATTCCGATTAGCTGGCCTGCTAGAAGCGGCAATCATCTACGTGAATACAAATTTCAGACGCGACAGTGGTAATAACAGACGGCTCCGGAAGGTCGTCTGAACTAGGTCATGCTGCAGCCACATGTTTGAACGGTGATTAGCGTTGTTTCCAGTGTAAGTCATGTCCCACTGTGGGTACTGTTCATAGGGTAATGAGGACGTGTGCCTTGTGATTGCGTACGGACCCAGTCTCACGGAAAAAGCGTCGTTTTCCATGTGACTGATGTTCTGTAAAAACTAACTTGGTGAAATTTAGAATAGTCAGTAACAGTGCCATAGACAAATGTATGCTGATAGCCAACCTATTTGTTTATCCTAATTCTTTGTACTGTTTATCGAGATACGATTCGGTGCTCTTAGGTGGTTACAGTGCGTCGAACAGTTGTGTAATGTGACCGGAAGTCCCGACTGCAACGAACAGTAAGGTTGGAGATGGAAACTAAAGTGGCATTTTCTCATCGAGACCTAAATCGGCTGAGTGAACTTTCCTCTACAGACTAAAAAGAAAGCTGCTGACATCAGCTAATACGTTAGAATCACCCCATCATCATCATCATCATCAACGACAGCATGACATCAGTGCTCAACACCAATGCTTCACTGCCGTACAGCCATGACTTAGAATCACCCCACAACGACATGATATTTCAAAGTTCAAGGTCGACAGCTCGGATTCAAATTTATTGACTTCATCTTTTCTGGAAGTCTGCGAAAAACGTTCAAACGTCTCATGCCTCTCGAGAGCATTCGTTGGTAGCTTGGAAGTTCGAAGTTTCTTTTGGGATTGTTGAGGTCCACGATGCCGGACGAGGCAGTCCTAGTCAGCCTTATGACACAGGCAAAACTTTTTTTCCTGCAAGCAAATGGATCTAGGCTGGAAAACCGAGGAGCACTTGTAATAACGGAATTTTCCTCATCTTAGTTCTCGGTCTGAGCCTCCCAAGCTAGCGTTTAAGTCAAAACAACCACCAATGTTGCACAAGGTCTATTAATGCCCTAAACGAAGTCAAGAACAATTGTACAGCATTTCGTATATATAGCGTAGGTGGTTATAACGTTCTGGAAATTTTGACGCGTTCTGGATGCGACATTGGCAACCAGCATTTGATCAATACTGGGTCATGATTGGCTGTTGGGTCCAGATTTTCGACCAATCAGATCTCGACTTGATGCCGGATCGGCAAGCGTCCCGAATTCTTGGCCAATCTAGTGCGGGCTAGGCCTATCGACCGTAGCAGCACCTGAAGACGTGTGGTATAGTGGGATCCGTGGGGAATCCTGCCTAACAGCACTTTACAGCTGTTTCATCTTTACTCGACAGCATCAGCCATGTGCACTTCACTATTTTATTTGGAAGCTCCCCGACTATCAGTTGAAAACTAAGCCTTTCGGTCAGCTACTCAGATATACGTTTAAATCGTACCTAGACAAAAGTCGCCAGTCGAAAAGCCAGTGGTGCGAATTCCGAAATCTTGTCGGTGATTAGCACGTCTCCTTATAATTTCGACAAGATTGACTTGACAGCCTACCGCAAAATTCATTCATCACGAACAGAACACAAGCAGTCAGCTCAGCTACGTGCATTCTCTTCTAGACTGTTGTCGCTGGAGTGGCATTTTTACTTATGGAACAGAGATGTAGGTCGATCAGGCAGATGACCAGTTGGAAGCAGCTATGTCGTGGACCGAAGGTTTACGGTTTCGAGAAGCAAACAATACAGCGATGCCAATAGTAACTTGACCAGTCATCCTCCAGTGGTAGTGGAGTCATCATCATCATCATCATCGTCATTGTGTCGGTGTCTTTGATGAATCGGTGACAAGCGTTCTTTTCTTGGTTGTTGTTTAAATGAGTAAACACAAGGTATATCTCGAGTAACGTAGTTGGGAATTTGACGTTCGACCCTGTATGTTGTGATCCGTCATTCAAATTCTGATCAAGAGGGGTGATTGTCTCTGGTAATTGACTTATCTCATGCATGGGTAATGGAAGATCCAAATTACTGTTTACAGTCGGCTAAAATGTCATAAATATGGATGGAACACGGCGACAACTCAGCGTGGGAGTGTGGGAACAATTCGGTTGCACTTACCACAACTGGGGATATCACAGTAGTTCTTCTCATTTTGTGACCCGGACTGTGCTATGGTGTAGCACCATGGACGAGAACTGGTCCCACCGGGATTACGGCAATAGTTGAACTTTTTCAAACGTTCGTCAAAGGCCGAGATGACCGTGCTGTGTGTGGCGTTTTGATGAAGTCGAAATCGAAAGCTATTTGAACTGGTTTTAGCGTGGATATTCCAGTTTTTGCATGGCTGCAGAGGTACATGAAAACAGACAGTTTGATTGAACGCGATATGAGGAAACTGAACTGAGAACTAAGAATTGTGCAGCTGGAAAGATTTCTCTTATTGTTTTACATCATCGGAATGTTCTCAACTTGTCCCCCATATCACTGAGAAAAGTTCTTGTATTTAATAGATAGGTTCAAAATTCCTGGTCCACCTCTTTTTTTGCATAGATTGTGTACACATTTTCGGGGTCAGAAGAGGAGTATCTTGTGTTTGTATATTCATTGTAACATACTAGTTTAAAAGTGAGCTTGGTGTAGTCTTGGATCTTTTCCAGATAAGTCTCGTCACTAACGCAAAAGTGCATGTGCGAAAGGTTAAGCCTTGCCACTTTTTGTCAGCTCCAATTTAGTGTACGCACACAACCCTGATTTACTTTTGATGAAAACGATTCCTTATCCACATCTAGCCTAGGTTTGTGTAAAAATTTTATTCGTTCGAACGTGAAACATTAAATGAACTTTCTGAGGCTTTCACTCTCGTTCCATGACAAGGAGATGGCAATGCGTTTTTGCAAAGCCACGGAGTGATCCATCAGCAACGTCTATGCAACAATGGCCACCAAATGACAGGTAGAGGCGTAGTGCCCGACAGTGTCGGCAAGAAATCGGTCTTCGAAAGGGAACGTGGCTGGAGCGGTCTAGGATGGAGTTTAGGGCAGTAATTCTATTCATTTATTGCTGATCCAAAAGTTTGGCCAAAATCAAATTCCGCTCAGGAGAATTATCTATTGGCCACACGAACACCGTTGACTGGGACAACTTCTTTGGCGAATTTTGCGCCTGGCGACTTTTGCAGACTCCAACAGTTATCGGCAGCCCAGGTCCACACGCCGATATCGATGAAACGCTAATAGCTTCCCGTAAAAACCACAAGATACAGAATAAACGTCAATACGACACACACCGGTCTTCAGTGGACAGCTAATTGTGTGAGTTCGTTTGGAGGCAAAGTTACAGAAAAACGGACTTTTTCATGAAAATCACTAATGACCTGTCCCGATTTCACCCTCTTCAATAAAAAATAAAAGTACAGGTCTCATACTCTTTTTCTAATCTTTTTTGGGTGGCGGTGGTCAATTTTCTGGCGGGGATTATCTGGAAAATATCCGCAGTCTGGAACGCCCGAAACGTGACTCATAGCTCGGAATTCAAACTTGTCGAGTTGTGAATAAATAACAGGTTATCCAATAAAAAGGAGGTAGTGTGTGGAATAAAGAAGTGACTTTACAGTCAGGTCTAATATTATGGTAACTAACTGAGGTGTGTTCACCTTCTGGAAGATTCGACTTCGAAGGCTTAAATGACAACTTGCATGATCAAGCATCTGGTGCACTAGTTGGAAAAGTGACCCTATCGAGAAGTAGGAAATAGATTCTTAGTTAGTCAATAATGTGGAACCAAGCGATCATCGGCGACAAGCATGGCTCTAGGTAGCCCCGTCGCCAAATATATTACGGTTCGGTCACCCAGCGAGCTAACAATATGCGGATTGTGGCAATACTCTATGTTTCTTGATCCAGAATCCTAGCACGGCGGATAGTAAGAAGACGAAAAACCTCGGACACAAACTTTAATGATCCAAAAACACGCGATCAACAGGTGATGCCCCGAGCTTCCGAACCCAAGTCAGTAAAAAGATGGTATCGTGTAAGTAAGTGGTCAGATTTGAATTTCTTGGAATATCAATAGGCCATTGATTTATTCATAGTTTGACCTTGAAGATGCCGGAAGTTCGCTAGCACACATAAAAATACAGCGTTTTTTGGGGGGATATTGATATCCCCAACAGGTAAGAAGCGCGGACTTCTGTTTCAACGACATGGGTTCGAATCCACGTTCAGAAAGCCTGAGTTTACCTGCTTAACTCACCTTGAAAATGAGGTACACAGTTTGCTTCATCAGTAAGCTTTGTGAGAGAAGGGTTATTTAATAATACCGCGATGCCGAAAAACACGTCAGTTTTTGATCTTGCGAATTGGTGTGGGTATTCTTCCGGTCGTTTTCCTGGAAAACATGACTTCAGCTGCCGGAATCACCCAATTCCACGGATGGAACTCGTCAACATGTCCGTGAGGGCTCGGTCATAATGAGGTGAGTCTGATTACAAAATGATTTGACTCAACAACGAAATACTCACACCGGAGAGCGGCTTTCGTGATTTGTTTCCTTTTCGTTGGCCAATCCAAATAGACGAATCATGCTCAGTCTCAAAGCAGCTTGTGGAGGTATTGTCCTGAGTGGGTAATTCACACACCCTAGTTGTTCATACGAGGTCATTGCGGTTCGGATTGATCATAACAACCATAAAACTCGTCAGCTAGACATGAGAGCTCGAATGGTTCGAATCAGTTCCTATCCACACGTATCCGACCTGATTTTTCTGGAACGCTGGCTTCAGAACTCAAAACTTGGCCATGCCGTGATAAACAGATTGTACCTTTGAAAGAATTTTGGCCTAATCAGAATTTATTTTAAAGCTTACATCATTTGTGTGCCAGTAGCAAAGTAATGAAGGCGATCCTAACCTTGATCTCTTCTAGAGAGAGCCACTGAGAGAGAGTCACTGATTAAGAACACTTGTCAGTAGACGTATGGAATATCGAATAGCGGTACTGTCTTGAAGCTGAGTCCAAAACAATCATCCACAAACAGTGAGTGGACAGATTGCAATTGAATTTTACCACTGTGATAGTGCGCGCGAATCTTCCAATGCATTTCGTTCAAGCTAACCAAATCCAGGGGGTGTTCAGAAACAACCAAGTACCGAAACGAGTACCCGTGAACACTTTCGATGTGTTGATGCTCAGGAAAGTCAGATTTGCGTTTCGGAGCATTCCCGTGCAAGGAAAGCAGCTTTTTTCAGAGGTTTTGCGGGATAGGTATCTTTGGTCATAGCCACACCGGTCTCGTCTGAACGGTTGTCTTCCCGTTCTGGTGTAGTTATTCCGGTGAGTCCACACCAAAGGGAAGCACTGGACTCGATTTTCGATCTTATTAGAGCTCATCAGCAGTGCATATCCAATGGGCGTGCCGGGACTTGAACCCCGGACGTCTGACATGCGAGGCGAGCGTGTAACCACTGCTTCACCAACGACCGTTGGGCACATCGGAATTATCACCTCTGAACAGGCGAACGTGTTCACACTTGAGCGATGTGATTGGTATGCCCGACTCATCGAACGACGACCCTAACTGTGACGATCGATTGACCCGCCAGTCAGGACTTCCCAGTCAGGTAGCGTGACACACGCTTGAAACCCACTGGGCAGATTTTTGGTTGCAATTTTGGGGTTTTGCGGGATAGGTATTTTTGTTCATAGCTCACCGGTATAATTACGCCAGAACGGGAACACAGCCGTTCAAACGAGAGTGGTGTGGCTATGAACAAAACAGTTTTTGTCGGTCCACACACCTTCACTAGAAAGACTAACTGCTATACCCATCAACACATTGAAGTCACAATACAGTCCCAGGCAATCAATTGCTATTAACTTTGATGCCCGCTGTACAGTTACCAACAAGTCGTCACGAAACAAGTTCCGTAGCGAAGTGAAACTTCTCAAATCGCAAGCGATAGATATCACAGGTAAAACGGAAGCTGTTTTTCATTGAAGTGAAAACGAATCACCTAGTCAGTCTTCATATTAGTCCGTGCTGTGGCTTGCTGACGGTAGGACAACTTCTGTATCGGTCCCTTGGCTTCCTGCTCCGCCCACCGTGGCATATCAAAAGGCACGGTAGCTTGAGATAATACTTAATGGAGTCTAAGCGAGGATTATTACAGCCGTATTTATAGGGTTATCACAGAATACTCCACAAGGTCGCGCCAGAATATTCATGAGGAGGTGAGATGCGTCAAGTCATGGATGCTCGATTCAGATTGGCTGATATTCTGATCAAACAAGGCATGTCTTCATAAAGGAAACTACTCACAAGGTTGCTGAAAACTCTTCGACAGCCCACGATCGCTTTCGCTTTTCTTGGGGCTCATCTGGTAGACGCAGTCCCCGGGTTACCACCAACCTTACGTTCTAATCGAACCCAGAATGGACTGTTTTTGAGAAATACACTCATTTGCAAATCAGATAGAACATAAGGTTGACGGAAACTCGGCGACTGCGCCTACCTGATGAGCCCCAAGAAGGGCAAAACCGGTCGTGGGCTGTCGAAAAGTTTTCAGTAACCTTGTGAGTAGTTTTCTTTATGAAAATATACTGCGATATCTCGAATATCGTGTCAACTGGATCATCAGACAGACTGTTTGCAGCACATTCGGTTGTAGGATATCATAGACGAGAGATTCAGTTGAGGCTCTCGTTAAAATCAAATTGGTTTGCTAATGAGTGTATTTCTTGAAAGCATGTCTTCGTTCAGCCCGTAAAGTCGCACGTGACTTATTCGTCCTGTGGATTTGATGTTCAGTTACTGAGAGCGGCTGACCTCCGGGCAGTCCGAAACTCCGTAAAGTGGCTGAAGTGGTCAGTCATTCCACTAAACCTCGAGATGATGGGATACGTTACCAAAGGTGTGCTTGCAAGAAACGCAAAATGTGTGTCTCGAAAATTTTGTTCCGTGGCATCCGAATATACCTCGTTGTCCTTTTGAAGTTGTTGTCCTACTGAAACCAGTTTGTCACGTTTCTCGCTTTCTGCCCTGACAACACGGCTCAAATAAAAATATGAAGCAATCCGTTTGACGGAAATGGTGATTCCGTTTCAAGGTGAACTTCTCCGAGACCGACCAGAATCATTCTATCTTGACGAATCTTGCGACCGTTTTTCAGTTGAGCGTTGGCCTAGCGCATATTTTGTCTCCCACCAACAAGTTCACTAATTACTTTCCAATCCTTTTGGATATAAAATTTGATTCTGAAATAACACACTACTTATCGCTCCGCTACATGTTTCTTCATTCCTGAGGCTTATCGGGTAGGCATATCCTTCGAATTCACATCAACCGTATGTTCTACTGGAACACCAGAGTTGCACTCATGCACAGACATGAGGTGACTTTTGTGAAGCAAATCTATCCAAAGAATAGCTGAAATAGGAGATTCAGCTTAAATTCGACGGTGTCTCCTCTTAACTCGTAATTATACCATTTTGGGATTTGATCTTCTTTATTCTATGTAAAGACTGAAGCTAATAATTATAGTCATGGTTGTCCTTTTGAGTGCTACATTATCTCTGAGACCCAGTGATTCTTGAAATGAGTACGAACTTCCCTAGAACTGCACAATATCGAGTGTTGGTGTAGTGTGAGTACTTGACATTGGTCAGACCTGAAAGTTTAATACTCTTCGGCCCATTATGATCGTGAGGTGGATGTATCAAGACAAAACTGCTTGATTCTCGGGTTTAAATTTCACGCTCAGCTAAAACAATATGCTGTCACACATCATACTTTTGCGCACGTACAATGCGTGACTTCAAAATATATTTCGCTTGTTCGCCATGTGATTTTTTGCCAAAATTAAAAGACTGGGAACATATGGGAGGTTCCTAATTTCCTGGATCTCTGGAACAATTGTTAATTCCTGAAAAGGCTGTCTCATTCCATTTTTGTTGCAACGTAGTTGTTGTTTTTTTCACTCATGTACGCCATGTGTGAGTCAAACTGGAGAACTTGTATGGACGCACAAAAAAGGACGTTTCGGAAACGTTTTTGTTCTTGTCCACGTGGTAGTAAAATGACCAAGTCATTTGATAATCCGGCTTTCGTCCACTAACTACGACAAATTCGTACGAGTGGGGTTTGTGAGGATGAAAGCGGAGCAAGTTTGAAGCTGTTCACACGGGCATCCGGATAAATTGGGAACAAAGCTTATCATGGTCAAACAGGGATTTTCTTCATTTCAGCGGATTTATCAGCGGCGCAACTCAGTTTTGAGTGAATTTGTCAACTCTGTACCAGTGAAAGAAACACCAACTGAACCGTTACAGACTACTGGACAGGGGAGCAGAATTTTCATATGCATCTTGTTTACAAAACTGTACATCCAACTTCTCCTTGAACGCGTCTTCCTGAACTTTCCTGGATATTCATTGACTCTTACTCAAATGAAAGCAAATGCTACAAGGCGAATCCACAGATTCCGTAATAGATCTCACTTTTCAAGAGACGCGAAGCGGATCTACGTGAAAACATATTACTCGCATACCGCATCAGTAGTATACACCGTTACACCAGTGGGGCAGAAACCGATGTTCTTTTCAATCTTTTTGGCTCTGGAAGGTTTGTGAACAGGGATTCTATTTTAGATTAAAATCTGGGAATTTTTCATGGAGATGAGCTGAATTTCTGTCTGAGAACTAACACTCGAGAAGCCACTCAACTCACCACCACGTGATTGAGTGCAGCCGTGGCGGTATATTCTGTGAGTTAACTGCATTGTTGATCAGCCATGTTCAGACTTCTATCCCAGAGATCGCAGGTTAGAGACTCTCTGAAGCTTCTCGAGATGTGCGCTATTCAGGATTCCTAATGAGGACAAAACAGCTTTACAACGGTTCTCTGAATTTCGGCATAGACTGGCCTCACAAGACGGAATTTCCACTGAAAATTCCGCTTTAGACCTGCCAGATGATAGTGACCATGCTTCGACTACTGGAGCAAAATAAAAACAACCCACTTTAGGAATGGTTCACCTCGAAAAGCTTTCAGCTGATGATATGTCAGTAAGGAGTGCCATCTCTAGACAAGATTCAGATCACTCTGCCGTGTGAGAAGGTAGGAATCAGTGCACATCTACCAATACACAAACTGTACAAGAAGGTGAGGAAAGCTCTGAAAGGTCATTTGCGCTGCAGTAGACATAAATTATAGCATATGTACAACCTTGGTGATTATCAACTACTATGAACTACTCACCAGTCCGCCTACCGTCCGATCTTGATAGCCTCCATAATCTTCCCCTCTGTCCTCGTAGCAACCAACATCCTTTCCTGAAACAGCGATAAACGAATAGTTGAGAACTCTGCTTTTTCCTTATGTGGTCCACCAATGGAGGCAGTTCAGTGTTTAAGGTGCGAACAAACTCACCGGAAGATCTGTGGCTCAAACAAACACAGTCCCGGCATCCCAACTGTTCATGTCTATGCTTGGAAAACCTTGCGGTACCTCAGCCCTCGTGCTTCCTTCGCATGGCATCGTAAGGATGTTGCAGCTGAACGATCTATCGATCGTTTTCACGATTTCACCGATATTTTCTCCTAGTCACAATACTTTGGTCTATGCTACCCAGTAAGCAATGTTTCCAACTATACAACTAGATGGATTGTGAGAAAAGGCAAGCCCCCCTGATAGGTGCTGCGCTGGTCACTAAGTTGCGGAGCCTAGAAACTGCACTGAATAGTTATGAAAACTAAAATGAATCATTTCGATTCTAGATTAAGGGATAATCGAGCTGACTAAACATGAGCTTAAAAGGAGAGACTAGAGGGACAATTTTTTTTAGACGGAATGGCGATATACACACAAGTTTGCCAAGTACATCAGATTGTCGAATTCATCCGATTTTGCACGCCCCGATCCTCGCAGCTAATTTTTTAACGAGAATTTCGTTCTCTACTGTATTATCTCGTATAACGTACTTGGTAATCAGATTCCGTCAGAGCGAAGAGTATGGTTCTCATGGGAACAAGTTACTCAACCCCATTCCTCAGATTTTCGTGGTGGCTTTAAAAGTGTACAAGATGTTCCCCAACTTTAAAGCAAAAAGCATGAATCAATTCTTCAAAATTTTCACATTTTCTTGGGATTCCTTCGTTGTCCTCGATGACCTTCTCAAGCTGCTCAAGTGTTTGGCCTATAAAAATAACTGGATCACCAGATGAGCCCTCGTTCATTTAGTTGTCTTTTGTGAACCTGGCTTCTTTGAGTGAAAATAAAGTCCACGCACTCACTAGTGAATCCAGAATTAGTTGATTTAATAAGACAGTGTGTCGGAACTCGTGGAGTCCCGTTTTCACATGGCTTTATGTAGACCTAATTCTTGCAAACAGGTTAAATGAGGTTGGTTGGCGCTGTAATCACCTTATCTTGTCTTCTTCAGATCCCTTCTCGGCCCACACAAGTTAGACTGGTAGATAAAGAGGGAACCACAGTGTGTGATATGCCAGAATTTCTCGCTGTTATCATCATCAGGTTGCATACTTGATATCGAAATTGTCTTCGTGTTTGATATTTAAGCCTTTCCTGCACTGAGTCCCGGTTACTCGGCTAGAAATGTAGTGAGATTAGATTGCAAAATCTGAACGGGGTGGAAGCCAAGGTTGTTGACTCCGTAGCACCGTAGCCGAACTGATTCCTACTAGGAATTCATATTGTTCACGCAATCCGATAAAACTAAGTCATCCGATTTTGCTGATTAGAACTCAGTGGAGGCTAACAAGTTCATTTGGCGTCCACTCTGCTAACCAAACATTGAGACTGCTATACATGTTGGTAGCTCAGGTAGCACAGATGATCGTTAGTTTATTCGCTAAGCTTGGCAATTTGATCGCGAACGTTTCATCACCAATCGAGGTGACGTCATCAGTGCGTTGTTAGAGAGCGTAGTGATGCGTGGTGATGGGTTGGTAGTTGTACGTTGAGTAGTGTTACGTGTGTGCTAATTTACGTGCTCCTGACAGAAGCTCACCTTTGATCACGATTAGTTGTTCGGTCGGGCGGTTCTATCGGTTGCCCTGTTATTCTGTGTCCCGGTTCGGTACACAATGCACATGAATTACTCAACACCATGTTTGAAGATATCACATTTACA